CCTGCATCTCGCGCAGTCGTTGCTAAAGTTGGCGGCGGTTGCGGTAGAAGGCAGCTTTGGTGGCATCAGTGGGGTGATCTACGTAGGCTTTGTGTAGGCGGTTCTTCTCAGCTAGCAGATTTCTGATGGCGGCGTCGTTGTCGTCGAACCAGTCCTGGTGTTGGCGGGGAGCGCGACCGAGGACGATGAGCGCCGTCGACTTGACCGTGTCTCGCAGTTGACAACAGCGGTTCTCCACGGAGGCGTTCTCGGCAGCGGTGGTGTCGGCAGCGATAGAAAGGTTGTCTAGCCTTTGAGCTAGCTCATTGCTGAAATGAAGATGGTGAGCGGGCAAAGACAACAAGGCAGCATTCAGCTTACCTGGGGATCGCTAACTTTGAGGTCTCCTGCGAGGCTGTAGGCGAATACGCATCTTCGAGATGACGAGGCGATGGTCGGTCCACCCGTCAGTGCCCACGATCGCTTTCGTCACCAGCACGCCCCGCTGCTCTCGCCTCCGGACGAGGACATAGTCCAGCAGGTGCCGCTGGCGCGACCGACGATGCCTCCAGGTGGCGTTCTCTCGCTCCGGCAGACAGAAGAAGGTGTTCGTCAGGATGAGGCAGTGTTCTGCGCAGGTGCGGGGAAGCAGCAGACCATTGTCGTTTGAGCCGCGGAGACCGTGAGGACCCAGCACTTCTCTCCAGGCAGTATGGTCTGTGCCGACGCGGGCGTTAAAGTCGCCAAGGACAATCAACTTGTCCGCCTTCGACACAGTCGCCAAGAGGGCGTGCATGTCCTCGTAGAATTTTTCTCTGACGGCGTCGGGGTTGGTCATCGTCGGAGCGTAGGCGCTGATGATGCTGGCGAATTGGCCCCCCCGCCGGAGAGGCAGGCGGAGGCTCATCAGGCGATCGTTGATGCCCTGCGGCAAACAGGGCAGTCGTCCCACGATGTCGTTCCGAATGGCGAAGACGACACCAGCGTCATGTCGCTCTGCCCTGGGTCGACCGCTCCAGAAGAAGGTGTAGCCGGCACCCAGCTCCTCCAGTTGGCCTTGTTCGGAGAATCGGGTCTCGCTGAGTGCGGCGATGTCCAACTTGTAGCGCGCCAGTTCTCGTGCCACTAGCGCCGTCCTCCGTTCCGGTCGGTTGCTCCTCGGATTGTCTAAAAGGGAACGAACATTCCAGGCTGCCAGAGTAAGCGGGCTCACCCTGCCAGTCTGGTGACAGCGAGTGGGGCAACGGGAAAGAGATGGAGAAGAAGGTGACGAAGGAGAAGAATAGGCAGAGGAAGAGGAAGAAGAGGTAGGATGAGGAGAATGAGTATGGTTTTTGTTGTTATTGGTATTGTTGTTGTTTTGATTTTGATTGTTTCGACCATGATTAGACGTCTGCGGCCCTGGCTAGCCTGGAGACGGCGTGGTACGCAGCAATGTTTAGGCCACATTTTCTAGGCCCTTCTCCTCGTGGGGTCTGGCGGTGCCATGTGCCGTTTTGGCACGGCCGAACTCCACTATGGGACCACGACTTCTGGTTGTAGTGGAGAGCGACTCGAATTCGCCTTAAGCGGCGGTCTCCGACGGCGTAGGTGGGCGCGTCAAGGCGATGTCGATGTGGAGATCCATCCCGTCACCGGCTGTCCAGCGGCGTGCGGAGACGAACCACGTCACGACGGTGCCGACGCAAGGTTCCATCCGACCTTCCATCCAGCGGAATCCGCAAACCCTGTGCACACGGCACAGCGCACAGGGCCCCCTCACCTGGTTTAGCCCGCCGATCGCGACGGTTGCCCGGGGTGTGGCCGCTGAGCAGAGTCCAGCTACGTGGAGCCACAGGTGAGAGTTGAGTGTCGGCAAGTGGACGCTAGGCACAGTCTCACCTGCAAGCAAGTGAGCGACCACCACGACCATTACGTGAACCCGCCGCTGACACCCCTACACACCTAGCCGTCATTAGCCAGTCATACACAACCCCAAGTGTGGCTCACTTGAGATTCGTGGCTCAATGGTAGAGCGTCAAACGCCATGACCGAAGATCCCGGGTTCGAATCTAAAGTGATCCAAACTTGGGGTTGGGTATGACTGACTGATGACGGTTAATTAGCCAGAATTGTCCATTCCGGTCTCCCTTGTCTTTGTCGGCTTCATCTCATATATATATATAAGTTTGTGTGTAATGCAACGGCAGAACATCGGCGAAGCAATTGTCTGGGCTTTTAGCAAGTATTTATATCGGGAATACTGTATAAAACCGTTATATGACAATGTGTCCTACGTGCAAACAACATGGGCGCTAGCCAAAAGTTCACACATGTTTACGCCTAATTTTCTGTTGCAATGCAAATGCAAATTATTCGAATACAGGGAATGCACCCATCCTTTTCGAAACTGCTTCTAATGCTCATATAACGGAAGCAGCGAAAAGACAGTGAAGAGCCTAATGTACGACCGAAACTTTCGCCTCAATGTCCCGCCGCAACATGGACAGCGTCGAGCAATTTCTGCGACCATTTAGCTAACACGTAAAGTGGGTAACCGATCTCATGAAATGTTGGCTGAAATTATGAAATGCATTTTCGATTGGGAAAAATTGCTTAGACGCGGTTGTAATATTGATTATCCTGTGACATAATCCTATAATACAAATTCTCGGGGACACAACATACGTGCATGTTGTAGATTTTGAGTCAGAAATGTTACATAATAAACCTGCCAACACTGCCATGGTAGGTCTTTATTCTGAAAGCGACTCCCATACAAATTTTACAAACTACTACGCGAGAGATTTAAATAATGTTACAACTTAAACTAACAGCACATTCTATGATCTACAAATTACTGATGAACCAGATCAGTTTCCAGGAAGTGCGCTAGACTGCATAGAGAACATTGTCAGAATGGTCTTCTCGATATAACACTCCAGCTCAAGTTACGGTTTATCTCAAAGCGTCTGCAAGAACACAGCCCATGCCAAATTTCTCCGTTGAACGACAGCAAAAGGCCGATGCAATTTAGCAAACCTTGCCATATGTTATCTACGCCTTCGGCCTAAATACCTGTGTTGGGAGCTCTTATACGGCAGCGAAAAAACAATGCCGCGTATTAGAGTGTTGTATTTTATAGTAACTGCATAGAGATCACCCATCGAAGTCGGCTAGAGCATAAAGGATACAAACGTGAAAGCCTCGACATAAGGCAGAATAGCGGAAATGCAAACGAAGGAGAGAGAGATATCATTGCCAACAATGCACAATAATTTCTTGTTAGCAGTTAAAGTGAGGGCTCACAGTCGTATGACCGCCGTTCGGTACTCGAACCGAGGCGCACGCATACGAGTAAACGAAAACCTCTGATGTATGAGATGTGATCAACAACTTTACGCGCCCTAATGTACGGATTTTTGTAGCGATCATACCATCTATTTTGCGAGTTGAAAGTCCATTAAGTTAGCCGCACATTCCATTTTCAGTCTGGTCACGTTATGGAAATCTATGAAAATAAAGAATCTTCGGGAGCAAAATGTACTTGTAGGTTGCGAATTTTTAATAAGAAATCTTATCACCTACAGCAAATAACCAGAAGTTTTATTTGCTATGCTTGCCAAAGCGGACAAAATTGTCAGCTTGATATAACGCTCGAGGTAAATCTGTGGTGTACTGCAAAATAATTCCTGCATGAACAGAGCTCAAATCAAGTTTCTACGCTGAACAACAACAAATACCCGGTAAAGTTTTGGTAAAACTTTTCATTTGCATACCATGTCACTGGCTTAGATACTTGGGTTGCAAACTCGTCTTCTGCAGAAACAAATGACACCGCCTAGTCGAGTGTTTCATATCGTGATAGCTGTATCTCTACAAGAGTTGAGTTTATAATAAAAGTTGCAGTATCCAGCGTGTGCCTAATGCCGCCGTTTTATTTTCGCAACAGTAAATATTTGTCGTTTGGTGTTGAAACAGGCTTGTGAAAAAAGCAGGAGCCTATATAATCGGTGCACTGATGTCGCCACGAGCAGCATAAGTTGATTTTGCACTCTGGTCGGTCTGGTCTGACAGTGTGCATTAGCGCTCACTGCACAGTTATACAGAATTCGAGAGCTAGATACGACATCCCATTGCAGTGCCGTGAGAGAGTGCAGTAATTCCTCGATGGCATAGTTGACGTTTATACGCTTATTATCTGGGAGATTAGAAAGGGCGACAGAGTAGGCCTTCATGTCCGATATTTTGATGGCCTGGAGGGGGGAGCTTGATCATAAACGAAACAAACGTGTAAGTCTTGAGATGAGCAAGAGAAATGGAAGTGCAAATAAGGAGGTGAGAGGGAGCATTGTAAACAATGCAGAATAAATTCTTGATAGTATTAAAATTGAGGATTAATTGTGATGTGACATGCCTGTTTAAAAATCGCACGGAGGCGCATGCGTACGTCAAACGAACAACCCTGAAGAATGAGGTGCGATCGTCGAATCAGCAATTCCCCTTGCCTGACGGTTCGGATTTCCACTTTTACCCATCGCAAGAAGCAGTCGTAAAGAGAATAAGTGACACATTAGGGTTACAGTACTAACCACTACAACCGCGAGGGCCTTAACATACGGAAGCCCTCCCACTTACGCAATGACAATCAAACTCATTGAGATAATATGGCAAAGCAAATTTACTGAAGCAGGCAACCGTCTTATTTTTACCGAAATGCACCAACTCTGGATGGTCCTCATCACCATGTAAATTGCGTTCATTTCCGGGGTTGATTTTCCATTTTGGTCGTTTTATGAATCAATCGGCTACAATTATGAAACCACTTTA